CCTCACTGGGCTCTGTGCTCAGGAGAATCTGCTTATCCCTCTCCCTCTGTTTCTCTCACAGCTTGTGCACACATGTGCATGTGCATGCTCTCTCTCAAATAAATAAATAAGATCTTAAAAAATAATAGGTACCCATTACTTGTGTTCTATGGATCTGGAGGGGTTTTGGAATGACAGATGCATTCAGTAGAAACGAGCATTATTTACTCCTCAATTTAGCCATGCTGCCCTGTATAATCTATTCTCGCTTTCTTTGGAATTTCCATCCATCTTAAACAAAAAGCAAAAGTTTATCTCAAGTGTTGTTTTCTGTTTTTACTGTTCAAAACAAAGTAGCTCACAAGCACTCCTGAAACCTCTTCTCAAAAGTAGCAAGAAGTTGCCAAGGGAAAAAATTGCAGGAATATAAAAGAGGCCTTGCCCACGGCCTCACATTCCCCAAGTAGCCTTGTGGCTCTGCCACTTGTTGCCAAGGACCCCTTTACATCTTCCTCATATGGATTTCATATTTTCTAAGTTTTATTTACCAAACTATATAAGTGAAATAATAACATTCCCATTTTATATTAATCAAAGACATATTTGCAACCACATCTCTTTAGAAGTATCAGATTCAGAGTATTATCAAACTTCCTTGAAAAAACTCAAAGGCATTTAGGATTTTAACCCTAAATACGTCACCCTATTTCAGGGTAAAGATATACTGTCCTCTTTCGGAATTGAGAGCATGAGTTTCAAGCACCCACACACTCTTCCTGAGTCCAGGGGAACTGAGTCTCCCAGAATTGGAACCACTGTTTTCTGCAGAAAACCACTGTTTTCTGCAAAGCAGGCAGCCATGTTCAAGGAAAATAAGAAAAAGTAAGTCCCTCTGTCAAAACTACTAGCGTTTGTAAAGTAGCGTTTACGAGCATTTGTAAAGTAGAACGCTATTAAAGAATATCCACAATACAGATACACAGCATCAGAATCCCAGGATGACCATAAAATGTTCTACAAAAAACAAGTTCTCATTTTCTTCCTGCAAAGGAGGGAGCAACCTGACACAAAAGCATTCTCTTCTACCACATTTTTTTTAATTTTTTTAAATTTATTTATTTATGATAGTCACAGAGAGAGAGAGAGAGAGGCAGAGACACAGGCAGAGGGAGAAGCAGGCTCCATGCACCTGGAGCCCAACGTGGGATTTGATCCCGGGTCTCCAGGATCGCGCCCTGAGCCAAAGGCAGGCGCCAAACCGCTGCGCCACCCAGGGATCCCTCTTCTACCACATTTTTTAAGGAAGATACCAATTTCATAAATTAAACATCTATTGACCAGAATTGAAAGCAAGTTAATATAACTTCACCAATCTAAGATGTGTTCTTCTCACCTCCCACAGCTCTTAAAAACTGAATACACACTTCTGCCCAAATCACAGAGAGAGAAAAGAAAACCGTTTTTTTCTCCCAGGCCCAAATGCCTACGTTCTCCTTTCAAATAACTGTTCTTCAAAGTTCTATAATCATTAGCCCTGCTAATAATCACCTAAGACAAAACCCAACTTCACAAATATAAGTTAAAAAACTAGAACTCAGGACTGAAAAACAAAAACCTCATCCAAAATTCACAGGCAACAAAGCTCATAATGCTGCATGTCAACATTAGATAGTAACTAAACACCTGCAGTACTTAGCTTGCCATTAATAATGAGCCAGCCTGCCCTCTCAGGTGTCTACCTTCCTCTTGAACAACAAACCTGTTTTCTAAGGCCATTATTTCAAGAGATAGAGCTTGTTGCACAACTTAGAAACTTCACCTGTCTCTTGACTGGAAGGATATAATTTTTATAATCCTTTCTCATTTCAACATCACTTGCCTGATTTACACACCTTTACCTAAAATCTCCTATTAACACTCAGCTACATAGGATACTACAGAAAACAAGCCACCAGCCTACCCTGCCCCAGATTAGAAAACAGAAGTTTATATTTACCCATGCACAGTCCATATGTCTGGTAGTGTGTTATGTGTTATAAAAATTTTAATTTTTATAACAATCCTGTCAAGTAAACACTATTAACATCCTCTCATTTTATCTTCAAACAAGGTATCTGAGGCATAGAGTGTAGGTAGTAGACAAATACCCTCTTCCATCACAGTATATTTTCTCAACATCAATACGAACATGCATATAAATGTATGATATCCTTATAGGAGAAAATACTCAGCCATGAACAGTCTTTTTGTCCATACGAATGGGTAAATTCATAGTAGAAAGAAACCCATAATGTAGTAGAAGAGCCCACAATGATTCAAAGTTCACTTTAGAAGAGGGAAGCCCTCCATTCCAAAAGAAAAAAGAAAAATATTTCAAACTTAGGTAAATTAGGGAAAGCAGAACATTCTTTAGTTAACATACAAAGGCTTCATGAAATCCTGCAGTTTTTAAAATGATGGAAGAAAGGGGCAAGGCAGGAAGGAAGATACAGATCTCTTGGACTCCTTTCTCTGTCTCTAAAGAAGGTATGAGATAAACAGCATCAGCCAAACAAAGTAATGCAAATAAGAGGGATCCAGAAGAATGACACCTGGCAGAGTGTCCTGCAGAAGCTGATGGGATGTGTGTTTAAGATGCAGGAAGCCATAGGCAGGGATCCTAGGAGGGGGTATCACCCTGGAAATGCCCAGCATCCTGCCAGTGGGTCCAACTTCAAAATGTCAGTCACCTTGCTCTTCTACCTTAATCAAGATCCCACTCTGTGCACCTGGGTTGTCCTTTCCATCCTGCCACTGGGGACTTCAGGTGCTCTTTACAGAGCTGAGGCCTCACACTGCCCTCCAGAGTCTGCTCCCAACGGAGTTAGATGCAGCAGACCCAAGCACCGCACTCTCTCCTGTCCTATTCCTGCTTCTTCCAATGGAAGGTTTTGGGAACAGAAATCATGTGTCTTCCTCTTGGGTTGTAGTCTACTGAGGGAGACATACCCAATGGAGTACATAAGATACGGAACTTACTGATCAAAAGAAAGGGCATGACTCCTAGAAGGCTGAATACACAGCCTTCTGTGCCCCAAACTCAAATCACAGGAGGCTACCACAGGGAGCATCTCACCAAGTACCAATTAGAAAAGGAAACAGAACTACTCTAAACTTTTTACTTATTTCACTATAGTTTTAGTCATCTCACTACGTTATCAAACATTAGTGACAAACTCATTTCACCTATTATCTAACAGATTCTCCTGAAGCTACTTCCATACAGAATACTGAAAACAATACAATAAAGGAATTGGTTGTCAGCTAATTTATCCAACAGCTTGTTCACATCTCTTACAATTCTACTCACAAAAATTCTGTGCAATTCCCTCTTTCCTGCCTCATAAGAATGAAAAGCGGTTTAAAATTTAGCAATCTTCTCTTTTATTATCTCCTTCTGAGAAATTTACCCTTAAAAGTCATGCAAAATACATTTTTAGGACAGTGATTCTCTACTAGGAGTGATTTTTGGCCACTTGGCAGTATCTGGAGACATTCTGGCTGTCACAATTGGGGAGTGAGTGGTGACATCTGGTGGGGAAAAGGCCAGGCAAGCTGCCTGTACAACACAATGTACAAAACAAAACCCACAAAGAAAGGAAAAAGAAAAAAATAGTTCACAAAAATATCCTTTCATTTTTTTCATAAATGCTGTTCTTTTTTACAGATAGAGACAAAGAAAGCACACACTGAGTCTTAAAGTTCTAGAATTACACATACGGAGAGAGAGGGAGAAGGAACTGGTTGGAAGTAGACCTTTGGCATCAACTAGCCCTGATATTACCAGGCAGGGTTGCTAACTCCACCCTCTCTAATGCCGGTGGCTCAGAAGGGACAGATCAGGTGTGCCTCCTTACTATAAACCATTCCTAAATCAGAACACTATTTTATCTTCTGGCACACCACCAAATGACAACTTAGGAGTAAAATATCTTATTTAACATCAGCTTCAACTTTTAATAAAAGAGTTAAAAAGAATCAATCGATAAATTCTCTACAAAAGTCCCTTGATGTACATTTTTATTCAGCTAAGACAGGCCTCTATTTTCATTTCTCCTTCAACTATGTAAAAAAATCCCCATCACTAAACATTCTTATTTGTCTGGGAGCTGGGTAAGTGCTACATTCAGATTTCTCATTCACACTCGGTGATAAATCAAATCCAGAGGTAGCGAAGAAAAGCCCCTTAGGATGTGCTGCAAAAAGTATATCCTAATGCAAAGAATCGTATCAAGGAACGTGTTCCTTTACGTGAAGCAAAGTGATCTTACAACTCCCAGAGGCAGGGTCCAGCGCCCCCGGCAGCCTCCGGACCTAAATCCCGCCCTCCTCAGGGCTTCACACCCGCGGGGGGCTGATTTCCTGGCCTCCAGAGTCGGCGCTGTAAAGGCCTCCCGGGATGCTGCTGTTCACCATCACCGCGCTCCTTCCCGAACCGGCGCGCGCCGAAGTTGGGCGTGGGCCTGTGGACCACACCCCGACCTCCGAACTCAGGGTTCTCTCAGGTGGGCTCCCCCGCAGTAACGGAAGTGGGCCTATCCCGGGCTTCCAGGGAGCCCCCTTGTGCGGATTCCGAAAGGGATCTTTCAAAATCCTTCCGCAGCCCCAGACGCGGCTGTGCTTCCCACCAGGTGCCCGGTGCCGCCGTCCTGCACGCCCGGAGGTGCTGGCCCGTCGCGGGCCGCTCCCAGGCTCGCCTAGTAGCCCCCGCTCCCGAGCGTGCAGCACAGCGCGCGCAGCTGGGTGCGTGCACCGGCCGGTGTGGGTGCAGGGGCGCCCCGGGGCCGGGCCCAGGAACGCTCTCGGGCACAGAGCTGGGTGCCGGGGCGCTCCCGGACTGGAGGCGCACCTACGCGCACAGCCCAGGAAGGCTCTCGGGGGCAGAGCCGGGGGCGCACGCACCGGGAAGCACATCCCACCCTGCGCGCACGTCAGCCCCACCGCGCTGTGGACGACAGACAGCTCACGTCTCTCCAACTCACCTCCTCCAAAAACTTGGTCAGATCGTACACCTTGTGGTGCAGGATCAACCAGGTGCTCCTGCTGTGGTTGTGCTTCTGGATCTCTTCCAGGGTGTAGTACTTGACGGTCTGGTCCGACTGCTCGGCCATTTCGGAAAGCGGCGGGCCTCAGGCGGTGCAGACAGCAGCCGAGCCGGGCGGAGCTGAGCGCGTCTCAGCGAGCTCGACCCGGGACATTCCCCGCGCCCCAGCCCAGAGCGGACAGCAGGGCGGCCCGCGCCACGGAGGGGGCGGTGGCTCACGGCCCCCGGTGACTGGACAGAACCCGTGTCAGTCAGGGGGCCCGCCCTCGGCCGACAGCCTCCGCCAATCTCAGCGCGCCCCCGCCCAGCGCGCGGGTGCCGACTGGCTGCAAGAAGTGCCCTTCAGGGGCGGGGCGGGAGCGCGGAGGGCGTGGTGAGCCGGGGGAGGGGGCAGAGGGCGGGGCAGGGGCGGGGCTTCCCTCGCGTCTGCGCAGAAGGCGTGGGGCGGCGCGGTGGCCGGCCGAGGCGGCTCCTTCGCGGTGATTTCGCAGTCAGGTCAGACTCGCCAGCCCGGGATGTCACTGCGTAAGTCACTGTGCCACGAGTCTGTTAATATCAAACTGTTAACGTGACGGGACAGCCCTGCTTCAGAGAAACAGTGTGCCTTCAGGGAAAAGACCCAGGGAAGGTACTGGTTCCGTACAGAGCAGAAGCCTAAGGACTCCTGACGCTCTGCGGACACTGCCCGGCGAATACTGTCTCGTCTCCGCAGTGTGATGTTGACATAAAGCCTAAAGACCAACAGCAACTGCTCAGCGAGCACTCAGGAAGACTTGCAAATGTTTGAGGAAAAAAGGGGGAAATCCCAGCACATTATCCAGTCACCTGTTAAGGCCCTTTTCAGCAATGGTAGTGAATGCCAGAAGGACCTACACAACAGGGTACAGGGAAGGCCATCCTCCTAGAGACTCAGCACAGCTCCCCCACATCAGGAGCCTCCGTAAAGGTTCGTTCCCCCACCTGACCTCCTCCATAGGAATGCGTGCCCATGGGGAGGAAAGATTTTCCCAAGCATTCCAACAGCCCTTACATATGATTGGATACACTGCTTTTCAAAAACCGAAACACCCTTGCATCTCTGAGTACAGCCCACCTGTTTATTGCTAAATTATATTTTGTTAGACTTTTACGGGGAATACTTGTGTGCAGTTTTCTTTCATGCATGGTATTTGCTGGCTTCATAGAATGAGTTGGAAAGTATTCCCTTTTTTTCTATTTTTCTGGAAGAGATTGTATAGAATTGGTTTTATTCTCTAGAAGCAGAACTGGTAGACTTCTCCAGTGAAACCATATGGGCTTGCACATTTCTTTTTCAGGTTTTAAACCGTGATATTTAATTTCCATGACACTATCAAATTACTGGTTTCACATCAGCTGAGTCACGGTGCTATATACTTTTGGAGGAATTTATCCATTTCATCTGAATTGTCAAATCTATGTGTGATGTCATTCATAATACTCCTTTATTATCCTTTTGATGTTTGCAGGGTTTATAATGATATCCTCAGTTTAATTCCTGATACTAATAATTTGTGACTTCTCTCATTTTTTTGTTGTCAGCCTTGCTGGAGGTTTCTGTTTTACTGATCTTTTCAAAAAGCCAACTTTCCAACTCTTTGATTTTCTTTTTCTTTTTCCAATTTCATTAATTTCTGTGTAATTTTTGTATAAGTTCCTTCTGTGTGCTTTACATTTATTTATTTTTTCTTTTTTCTAGTTGCTCCAGGCAGGACTTTAATACTGATTTGATTCTCTTTTCAAATGTTTATATTTAGTGTTATAATTTTCCCATACATTTTAAAAATAGCAAACCAGATTATACTTCTTCCCTAAACAGTTCTCAACTGCTGAATCTTCTCATGACTTCTAGCAGTTGAGCAATGAGTCTCTCGAGGTTATGGGTATGATACATCTGTAACCACATCAATACCATTCTAGATTTCAGTCCCAGTTCTAACTCCAGATGTGGTTAAAAACAAAACTTTGGCACTAGTGACCTGAATCTCACCCCTGGTTTAATGACTTATCAGATGCGTAACTATGAACTAGTCAATTACCTGTTCTAGGCCACTACTTATAAAATGCTTAGCACAAGGTCTGGAACAGAGACAGCATTCAATAGATTTTAGTTAGTGCAGTTATTATTATTCACCAAGGCCTCCTTGTTCTAAAACACAGAAATGAGGAAACATCCTATCTGGTAGGTGCTCTAAGGCAATCTGTAGTAAATCTAAGCAAATTTGGAAACAAGGCTACAAATTAAAGAACACAAATATTTACAAACTCCTCCTGACCTCCCCTCCAGCAAAGACATTTTTATAAACATTTAGAAAACCAACTACACTCCTAAAATTCCTCAGGTAAAAATATATTGTAAAAACTGCTCAGTTTCTTTTCCACTATAAGGCAAAAGTAAGCAAACATAATTATATTTTTTTATTCATTTTCTAATTCTATCATTTGTGCACAAGATGTATTTGGACAGCGTTTTCCTGCCCATTGATAGTTATATTTGCCATAGTATGGGTATAACCACAGAGAACTGGCTCCCTCAAACAAATGGGCACTTCTACAAAGATGGGACTCTCAATTCAAATATCTACACAGATAATTTGCATTGTATCCAGGTCTTTTAAATACTATATTAGCATAGGTCAACTTTTTCCTTCAAAAAAATCTTAATCTATCATCTATATAGCCTACTTGGTTGATCTCTAAATAATTTCCTATTAGCAATAATTTCCAAGATTTTCTAAATGTTTTACATATTTATTCATCTTCAAATAAAGCATGTTTGGCTTGAGGTTATTTTTATCCATGTATAACACCAAACGTCAGTTGAGAATCTCTGGTCAATGGACTGCAGAAGCAGAAATGAGTAGAGAACAATGGGTACACTCTGACCACAAAGCTCAAAGTCTTAAAGTTCATCGCTAAGGTAGGGCAGTTTTCCTCACTAACTTCAAACAATGATAAATTAATTATATATCTTTTTGTAAATACATCCTGATGCACACTTTCCTTATATGTCCATCTTTAGGAACAGGTAAATAAGGAGAATGTTTGGTAGTAGGACATGGCTGCAATATTTAATTTATTTTTTAAAAAAATCTTCTTGTCTCCAGCACAAGTAAATAGAACAAGATCAAAATAGTATATATAAAGAAAAGTCTAGATATCCTAATTAACTTTGTAAAGCATTCCAGACAGTTCTATGAAATAGCTGCTGGTGTAGTTCCCAAGTCAGAAGCTTGGAGATCATCCAAGTCATCCTCAAAATTGATTCCATCACCAAGTCCCAGAGATTTTTCCTCTTAAGTATCTAACAAGCACTGTCCTCGTTTATCCCTAGTACCGTTCTGCTAGATCTGCTTTCACAATTCCCTCCCTACTTGTTCCCCATAACAGGTGGTTCTGGTCTTCAAGTCCTTGGGTCCCTCTTCCATACAAGAATGAACCTAAGACTTCCCAATGTCTCCCAATAACTACAGTTCCAATCTCAACAGAGCATCTGAGATCATTCAAAATCAGCTGCTCTCCAGCTTGTCATTCCTACCTCAAACCTGCAGCCTGGCAACAGTGAGCTATTTTTAGATCTCTGGAGGCACAGCATCCTTTCCTCACTTCCATGCCCTATTCAAGTGCCCTTCTCTGCCAGAGTTCTCTCCTCACTCTTTTCTCCCTTTTATTTTCCTTGATTTAGGACTCAGGACTGTTTTTAACTTAGCATCACTGGAGGAGGGACGTGCTGATCACATTCTTCCCTTCCCACAAATGCCCACTCAGTATTCCTTGACTCTCTGATCACCTCTATCACACAGCCAACTAAGTCATCAGTCTGTATGTCTGCCCTCACTGGGCCAAGAGCTCCTAAAGGGCGGAGACAGTTGGTCACAGCTGTTCTCAGCACAGTGCCTAGCACTCAGTGTGTGCTCAGTAAATGTTTTTGAACAAATAAGGGTATAGATGTGATCTAGAATATGGTGTGTAAATACGTGGAAGTATCATAATTTTCCTATAACTGTACCAAAAAATGTGGATTAATTTATCTGTCACTAGTAAGAGTACTAGCCAAGTTTTCTAACTTTTCCCAAGACATCTTCTAAAGATAAAAATGTTTTCTTTCTTTCCCAGCTTAGGAAACAGAAAGAGAGGCTAAATGCAGCAGCAACATGAAAATAGTTTAAAATGAACAATGTGCACACCTAGGACCAATCCAAATGCTCCACACATTCATGTAAGTGTACATGTGAATGATGAAGAGGGCATTGGAGTTCTTGCAAGCTGGAAACCCCATGTCAAGAATAGTTACCTACCTGAATAAAAATAATCACTTAGGACCTCTAAGGTTGATGCTGGAAAGTAGTGAATATTATTAGTCTCTTGATACCCTCTTTTCTGATTCTCCTACTGATTACTGATATCACTCCCTACCACAATACCACCACCCTATTCTCCTCCTTGGCACTCTGGCCGAAGTATGAAGAAACAGTTCTCTTTAGCTTTCTTACAACAGGGCCAGAGTATTCAAATGAACTTTGCTAAGGAAGCAAAAAATGACTTTCCTCCACATACAATGATCCTAGAGCCTAACAGACTCTATTCATCTTTAATAAATAAAGCAGTAACATCAACTGAATCAGTTCATCAGATTTCTTAATTCTTCTTAAGTGACTGTGAGGCACCAACCCAGTGAGAACCCTTTTTAGGGACACATCATGCTGAGTCCCAGGCTCCCTCTGCATGTTTGAGAACAGTTGATTACACTCTACCCACAGATCCAATCTTAAACATCCAACTGTTCAAATTCCAGGTCAAGGTGCATGCTGAACACAGCCCCAACCCCCACCTGGGGCTTATCATCATAGTTCTAGCTTCCTTAATAAAGATTTGACTCTTCCCCAGGTAATCTTTACCTCCTAACCACAAAATATGGCCTAATCTTTGTGTGTCCAGACAGTTTAAACATGATTTAACACAATGCAACAACCTTAATCTTCATGAAAGAAATACAGTCAAACCGGTGGGTGGAATCTTTGAGAGGATTCTTTCCCATCTTGAATGCCTGTGAATGAGATAAAGAGAAACAAACAGAAGTAACTTGTACCTGGTAAATTGAATAAGCCTGCCCACAAACTTGTCATCAAAATGTATCCTATTGGTAAAGTTTTTCCCTGGGTAAAAATTTTGAGTGGCCCTATAACATCT